TGTCCTGCCACCACGGGTGATCCCTGTGCACCCGGCAGCTCAGCCCTCTCCCCTTCCTCTCTGCAGGGGTTCGGGTCACTCTGCTTCTGTGGCACTTTGGTCCATCACCCTCCCTGACCCCTTAGTCGCCGTCATCATTAGCTCCCAGACTGGCAACACCAGCCCCTCATTCCTGGGATGAATACTTAGTGGTTTAAAAAGCATATCAATGGGCCAGGCGCCAGAGGCTCATGCCTGTAATCCTAGCTACTCGCGTCAAAGCCAGCCTGGGCAGGAATGTCTATGAATCTTCAATTTATGACCAAAAAGCAGGAAATGGAGCGGTGGCTCAAGCCACCGCTCAGGACAGCACCCAGGCCCTGACTTCAAACAGGACTAGAAGGGGGAAAAAAAGCATATAAATGTCCCCTGTCCTGTGTAAACTGGAAAATTGCTATTCTCTGGACCTCTTGGAGATGGCAAATGAAGCCCTCCCTCCTTCCTTGTCATTTCAGACTTCCAGCATGAAAAGGCAGGCGCCGTGGTGTCTCCAGCCACTTTGTTCTTGAGGTGGAGACTGAGCGCCTGCACAGCCATCTGCTCCACCACCTTTTTGGTACTGAGGCACAGGGCTCCTTTGCTCCAGGGTCGTGGCTAGTTAGCAGTAAAAACCAGGCTCAGAGCTTGAGGCTTCTGAAATCCAGACCTGTGCCTCCACCATGCATGGCCATTGCCCCCTCCTACCCAGCAGCACCTCCCTCCTCTTTTCTGCTCCCCCTTCTCTCCAGCACAGCTTGGCCAGCACAGCTAGCCAGGCCCTGTGACGTCACCAGCTCATGGCTCCCTGCTGTCTGGAGCCACTTGCTTGGTGTTCTTCGTGGCTGCCAGGGGCAGGATCTGGGCACTCACTGGGCCTATTCACTGGGCCTGGCCATGGCGGGGGAGAATCAAAGGCATTGTTCATTCTCCAGGCGATAGAAGCTTGAAGCAGAGCAGGGGACGGGGTGAGGCATCTTCCTGGAAGAAACCAAATGAGCTGACCCGCCAGTCCCTTGGCCAAGACTTCTTGGGTTACTGTGGTCACTGCCTGGTCCTGTCTGGGCACTTAGGAACCTCGCCTGCGTGGGGCAGGGTCTTGTTGCTTTCTGGATTGGAGGCGGCTCAGCTCTGGGTGCATTTGGGGCCTCCTCCCCCTCTTCCACCAGCCCCCACTCTTCTCTGAGCACCTCCTGTTCCATACCACTCACACTTCGCACTCAGCGCTTCTTTCATGGCCTTGTCCAGCTCAGTTTCAGTTGTGTTCTTGTGTCTTTTTCCCCAACCAGACTGGAGGTTGGGATTTGGACAAGTCACCAAGCTTGAACCCCCTCTACCTCCCCCCCCCCATTCTCCAGGGACCAGCCAGCATGCTGATCTGTAGGCATCCAGATTTCCTAAGGTTTTGTTGCCTTAGAGTTGAACACTGCATCAATAAAACCTTTTCCCTTCTTCTGAAATACCGATGGCATCACACTATGCCGGTACCGTGCACTTTCTGCTTAGCCCTCTATGTCACATGACAGTTCTGTTCTCACGCGGTGTCAGGCCACCACAATGAAGGGGGTTGGAGGATTTTTTTTTTGCAATACTAGAATTTGAACTCAGGGTCTTACACTTAGCTGGGAAGATGTTCTGCTGGTTCTTACTGGTTATTTTGAAACAGTCTCACATTATGCCTGGGCTGAACTGGATTGTGATGTTCCTACTTGTGCTTTCCCACCTTGCTAGCATGACAGGTATGCACCACAACCAAGCCAAAAAGATCAAACCAATGGCTGGCAGCCAATGATCTTTCAAACTTTTTTTCGTCTTGGTCTGGCTTCCAACCCCCATTGCTGCCCCTCAAGTAGCTAGGATTACCAGCGTGAGCTCCGGGCCCGGCTCACCTGGATGTCCTCATGAACCCCTTCTGCCAGTGAACCTCTGGGTCTCTGTGTTCTGCTTTCACAGTAATGAACAGCCCAAATGCACAGTAACGGTACAAATGCGTCTGTAGGAAAAAGTTCTAGAAATGCTCATGGGTGTCTGAAGTGTTGATAGGTTCCAGAGTGGTTCCACAGAGGCACGCATTTCCTCTGGGCCTGACAGGGCCATGCAGGTGCGGTTCGGGCCAGAGACTCGGAGCTGGTCCGAGTGAGGTCCCAGCAGGAAGTGTCAGCCTTGCCCTGCTGAGGACAGACGCGGGTGCTTTTGCCATCACGGGCTGAGGAGTTAGGAGTCCCTGGGGCCAGACCCTTCCTCTGGGGACCTCAGAGGGGCTTGCTTAAGATGCTGCCACAGGCCGTTAGGATGTGAGCCCACACTGAGGTAGGGCTGGGGAGGAGGGGATGGCAGGGGAAGAGTAGGGAGGGTCTGCTACAGCTGAGTTGTGCTGAGGTACAGGTTTTAACCTCCTGACCTGACCTGACTCAGCCCATCTCACACACACACACACACACACACACACACACACACACACACACACACACACACACACACACACCAGGGCACGCTGCCAGGGATGCCAGGAAAGGACTCTGTGGCCTGTGAAGGAGAGAGTTGGGAGGATGGATGGGACGTTTCCCACTGTCTGGCCACACGAACCGTGCCCTGCTGAGGATGGTCCCTATGAGAACCCCCCAAGATGGCACCGCCAAAAGCTCTACAAAGAAAGCTGCACAAAAGGCTCCCTGCCCCACCCAGCAGAGCCCTCTGAAGGCCTTGCCACACCCCCTCAGCCTTGGCCACACCCCCTCAGCCTTGGCCACACCCCTCAGCCTTGGCCACACCCCTCACTTGGCCTGCAGCTCCTTCCTCATGACCTGAGGGCATCATGGGAATTGTTGGGGTCTCTCAGCTGGGAGCCTGGGCCACAAAAGCCTACCAGCCAGGCTACTTCTTGGTGGCCCACCCACCACACCAGCCCGGTAGCGGACCCTTCCCACTCTTCTTATTTGTCTGGTTTTTTGTGCTGGTACTGGACCTCATGATCCACTTGGCTTTTTAGTTCAGGGCTCTACCATTTGAGCCACACCGCTACATCTGGCTTTTTGCTAGTTAATTGGAAATAAGAATATTGTAGACTTTTCTGCCTGGGCTGTCTTTGTACCAGGTTCTTCAGGCCTCGGTCTCCTAAGTATTTAGCACATAGGTGGAGACCCTAACCTAGGGTGTTCTCAGAACGGGGCTGGGAGCAGAGGGGCATGCATGGACCCAGTGCGGACTGTGGCAGAGACCCTGACTCGGGGCTCAATGACTGATCCATCCTGTCTAAGTCACAAAGTACAAGCGACAGTTCCTGGGCTGTGGCTGCTGACATCTGTGGGTTGACTTACATACTTCAACTTTTACTCTACAATTGGATGCACTTAATGATAAAATAGGGCCCAAGTCCAGATTCCCTTGGAAAGCAGGTCAGCCATGGGTGACTATATTGTATGCATCTCCCTAGCTTGCCATACAACAGGCTGTTTTTATACAACGGAAGTTCACTTTCTCATGTTCCAGGAGACACAAGTCCAAATTCAAGGCCTAGGCAGAGCTTCGCTGCCTGTGAAGCCTGCGGGCCGTGGGTCCCTCGCCGGCTCCCGCTTCCTGGTGTTGCCCCCTGGTCTTGGCTTTCTGCAGTCTGTACTGCACATATGCCCCTCTGTTCCCAGCCTTCCTCCTCTGAGAACACCCTAGGGCAAAAGTTCCCATACACCTGGCCGTGCAGAAGAGGAGTGGGAAGCTGGGCTCTGGTGGCTCACGCCGATAAACTTAGCTACGCAGAAGGCTGAGATCTGAGAATCCTGGTTCAAAGCCAGCCTGTCTCACAGAAAAGTCTGTGAGACTCCTATCTTCGATTAACAAAAAAATTAACTTGTCTCTGCCTCTGCCATCACATAGACCTGTGTGTCTGTCTGTCTGTCTGTCCTTCTCTCTTACCATGACACTTAGGGTATTATATTCTGAGGGACCATGCTGATCCAGCAAAACCTTATCCCAACTTGCTTCACCTGCCAAAACCCTATCTCTAAAAAAGGTAAAATCCCAGGAACCTTCCTTGTATCTTTCCAGAGTACAGGGGGGTGGGGTGAGGGTTGCCTGCTGAAACAGGCTCCTGGAATGCAGGGCCCTGGGAGGTGGAGAGGACAATTATACCCCTGTAAATCCATGTCCTTGGTCTCCCTGCAGTTGTTATGGTTTTGGTTTGGCGGTACTGGGGTTTGAACTCAGGATTTCCCATGTGCTCTACCAACTTAAGCCAGGCCCCTAGACATTCTGTTTGCACTGGTTATCTTAAGAAAGGTCTTGCTTCTTCCGCAGGGCCCACACCTGGCCTATGATCCCGCTTTACACTTCCCTCAGTAGCCGGAGTAACAGGCAGCACCCCCACACTCAGCTTTTTCCATTAACGTGGAGTCTTGTGAACTTTTTTTTCTTGCCTGATCTAGCCAGGAACTATGATCCTCCCAATGTCCGTCTCCTGAGGAGCTGAGGTTACAGGTGTGTGTGTCACCACACGGCCGGACTCCCTTGCAGTTCTCTCTTTCCTCTGGTCTCCTTCCTTTCCTGGTCCATCTAAGTCCTCTTCACTTTCCAAGCCCCCTCTCCAGCCCCACCCCTGCTCCAAATCTCCTCTGATCTTGACTGCCCTGACCCCCAGCAGATGTTGATGAGATGTACCTTGATGTGGGCGGGGGAACCTGACCCCTGCGTCTTCTTTCCTTTGTCATACTGTCATATCATCCTCGACAACAATGACCCTGGACTCCTGAGCACACCCTGTGAGTGGTAGAGTGTGGGGAAAGGGACATGAGCGGCCTGTCCCCCGATGATGCCCGGACAGCCCAGGATGAATGGCAGGCACAATTCTAAGTTTGTTTAAGCTTTTTCCCAACGTTCAGAAATGTAATCATCGGGCTCTTTGGTTTAGGAGGGCTTGGTACTTGGAGCAGAGGGCGCTGCTCTGCACTCCTCCGGCGGACAGCACTGCTAACGGCTCTGGTGTCTCCCCACAGCCTCCAGCGTCTCCTCATCCCCATCCACACCCACCCAAGTGACGAAGCAGCACACGTTTCCTCTCGAGTCTTACAAGCAGGAGCCCGAGCGTTTAGAAAACCGCATCTATGCCTCCTCTTCCCCGCCAGACCCCACCCAGCGCTTCTGCCTGGCCTTCCACAGCCCGACGCGGCCTCCACTGGCGTCCCCGACGCACCAGGCTTCCCCCAGAACCGTAAGTCTGGGCCTTTCTTCCCAGGGCAGGGTGTCAGAGGGAGGCTGGGCGTGTCTTCTCCATGCTGTGCCAGCCTGCCTTTGGTTGGGGCTGGGCACCGCTGGCATGTGTGGTTTCTCGTCCTAAGTCACAGGCTGGGGAAGAAAGGTGGGGACACAGTGGGCAAATGGAAATCAAAGGGAAATCGCTAACTTCCGCTCCATGAGGAAGATGGCCAGGAAGTTTCCAGGCCCCTCCACTGCTTGCGAGCCATCCTTTGGAAGAGTTCTTTGAATTTGCCTAGACTGGAATGCTAAAGTAAAATGTTACCAGGTAGAGCAGAAGAAGAAAAGCAAGGAAGGAGGGAGGGAGGAAGGAAGGGAGAGAGAGAGATAGAAAGAGGAAGGGGAAAGAAAGGAGGGAAGGGAAAGGAAGAAAAGGAGGAAATGAGAGGGAAAGAGAAGGAAGAGAAAGAGAGAGGAGGGAAGGAAGGAAGGAAAGAAGGAAGGAAGGAAAAAGGAAAAAGAGAGAGAAACCCACATTTTCTCATAAAGAGCTACTGTATATTCAAATAATGCAAAGGCGTGTTTACTTCTAAAGTAAAATTTTCACATATTAAACCCACAGTCAGTCGAATCCACAGATTTTGACTCTGTGGATTTAGAGAAGCTGCTGTACCCCAGACTTGGAGGGGAAGGTAAAGCCAACAGAAACTGTTGTCCAACAATTCTGGAGGCCCAAAGCCTCTAGAAGTTCCGGCAGACCCCTACTACCTTGGATACTCAGACAAGGCTTTGCCTCTTCAGGCTGCCATCAGCCGGGACCTCCGGCTTCCAGGGCCCCCCTCGCTGCATCTGCTCCTGTTTGAATTTCCTCTTCCCAAGAGGATGCCAGCCATATTGGACTGGAGTTCTTTAACCTAGTCACATCTGCACAGACCTTATTTCCAAATACGTTCCCATTTCCAGGTACTGGGGGATAAAGCACCAGCCTGCTCCCCAGGGGCTAGGGTTCGGCACGTAGCCACCCCTATCTTTTGGGAGAGGATGTGTCACCAGGCAGAGAACATACTGTTGCCATTCTTCCTGTCCATTCAACCATGGTTTCCTTAAAGGTGTGCTGGCACAGGATTCCTTAGTTTGGCAAGCGCTGAAGTGTGAGGTCTTGTTCCACCTTCTAGAATGTGAAGTCTGGCTGGCCACACAGCAGCCCTTGGGGGGGGGGGGAGGGGGAAGAAAGGAGGGGGAGACCCCTAAGTAAAAAGCAAGAAGAAGGTTGCCAAGTTGTAAGCCCAAACCACACTCAAGAGGGAGGGGGAGGGGGACACTGGTGATAAGTGCCCAAAGTAGCTGTACCCACTGAGCTGGAGTAATGGTGACTGGAGCCCAGCTGGGAATGAACAGGAATGAGAAGGAAGAGGCCTCGTGTGCGGCTGCGGCATAGAACTCTGTCGGAGGAGCGGGTGGGGGATTGGGCAGAGTCACCATGGGCCACAGCCTGGCTGCCTGTCAGGAGGCGGGGCAGGGAGGACCTACAGCCAATGGCCACGGGTGCCTTTAGAGGCAGAGGGACAGGGCACACTGCCTTCCTGGCACACTGCCCTCCAGCCGCTGACCTGCCGGGACAGGAGACCCTGTGCCGCAGGAAAGACTGGAGAAGGGGTGAGGAGGGAAAGCACTGGCACAGAGATGCAAACATTCCCAAACGCTGCTTTCTTCTCTCAGGCTGTGATAATTAGTACAATAAGCCAGGCACCAGTGGCTCATGCCTGTGATCCTAGCTACTCAGGAGGCTGAGATCAGCGAGTTGAAGCCAGCCTGGGCAGGATAGTTCATGAGACTCTTATCCCCACTTAACCACCAAAAAGGCAGAAGAGGAGCTGCAGCTTACTAGCACCAGCCTAGAGTGCAAAAGCCAAGCCAAGCAAAAGCACAAGGCTTGGAATTCAAGCCCCGGTACCAGCACGTGCACACGCATGCACAAGTTCCTTTGAATTTTATTCTACATTGGACAGGGCTGGAGGTGATTAGCTAGTCTGTAGCAGACAATATCTATCAGCAAATCAGTGCCAGGGGAGAGGACAGTGGTATACGTGGGCAGGGACAGTGTCTGATCTCCCTGGATGGTTCTAGAAAATATCTATGAATTGAACAAAGAAAGGTACTTTTACTATCCAAGGCTTCCAACAGGTAAACCATGAGAACAGCACTTGCCAGCCTGCTGTGGTCCTATGGAAGAAGGTCTTCCATGCTGAGCGCAAGAGTCAGTCCCGAGGAGGGGAATTTCTTCAGCAGGAAAGAGCAGTGGTCAGCTCTGCATTTTAGGCTGAGCCCTCAGGCTGGGTGTGGGGAGCTCAGGCCCAGATGAGATGCGGTAGAATGTAGTTTGGGCCTCCTGAAGGCAAGAAGAAATGGAGCCGTGAAGAAAGCTGGGTCGGAGGAACAGTGGAAAGGCATTGGGAATGTAGTGAATGACTAGTGGGAGGACAAAAGAAGAACCAAGTTCAAGTCTGCCCTGAGAGACGCGGGGAAGGGGGGGGAAGGGACGTGCCTGTGGGTGTGTGGAAGCGTGTGTTCAGGCGTGCATACGTGGGGGTGTCCAGCGCTCATGGCACTGCAGAGTTCTGAGGTGCACACAGACCAGTCGAGGTGTCCCAGGAGCGATCGCATTTGAGTCTAGAGCTGGAAATGATGATTTGGAAATCATCCAACTGTAAAAGGTAATTGGTGTCGTGATGGGAGAGAGGAAAAAGAATCGAAGGAAGTACGTGGGGACTGAAAAGAGACCCAAGACAAGGGGCTTCTAAGCGACCTCTGGAGGCCAGACAGAAAAACAGACAAACAGCTTTAGAGAAACAATGAATAGGTGTTGTTGTGTTTCACACACATGGAAGAAGTGGTTGCCAATACAGGCACACAGACTGGCCATTGGCCACGGGACGGAAGGGCTGAGGTCACGGTGACCTTCACAAGAATGCTTTCTCAATCCCTACATAACCAAGGGAGGAAGGCATCTGCTGTGGGCGGAGTGGACAGGGGTGAAAGAGGCAGTCTCCCCAGGCACTGGTGGCTCACGCCTGTAATCCTGGCTACACAGGAGGTTGAGATCTGAGGATCACAGTTCAAAGCCAGCCCAGTCAGGAGAAGTCCGTGAGCCTCTTATTTCCAATGAACCACCAAGAAACCGGAAGTGGCGCTGTGGCTCAAGTGGTAGAGCACTTGCCTTGAGCTGAAGAGCGCAGAGACAGCGCCCAGGCCCAGAGTTCAGGCCCCACGACCAACAACAACAACAACAACAAAAAAAGGAGGCAGTGTCTCGTGTGATTCTCTTTCAGGAATCCTGATGTGACAGGAGAATGGAGGTGATGATCTCAGTGCTGTAGGGGAAGTAACCGGAGAGGAGCCCTGGGAAAGGAGTAATTAAAGTGAGAAGGGGTATCCTCCCTGTCCTGCTCTGGTCCTCCATGCTGGGTCCGCTGTTCCCCAGGGGCTGAAGCAGCTGTACAGCAGAATCCCACGAGAGGAACTGGTTCCCTTCCTGGCAAAGGCACAGAGAGGGGCAAACTCAAAATGACTCAGTCCATAAAATAGCTAGTTATGGCTTGGGCTTGCTATTTACCAAAGAGGTAAGTGTTTCCAAGCAGAGAACTTAGAGATATCAAAGAGTCTTCAGAATGGAAGGAAAAAGAAATCTCCAGGCTGAAAGAGCCAGGGGCCACAAGACGAGAGGAGAAAGGAAAGGGACCTCAGAGACAGAGGAAGTGGAGAGAGGACATCTCAGAGAAGGAAGAAGAAGGATGCTCAGAGATAGAGGAAGAGGAAAGACAAGAGGCCCCAGGGATGGAGGGAGAAGAGGTCTTCCTCCTCAGGAAGAGGGAGAAGAGGTCTAGCATCACAGAACTCAAAACTGGGCACCAGTGGCTTATACTTGTAATCCTAGCTACTCAGGAGGCTGAGATCTAAAGATCACAGTTTGAGGCTAGCCTGGGCAAGAAAGTTTATGAGACTCTTATCTCCAATTAACCACCAAGCCAGAAGTGGAGCTGAAACTCAAATGGTAGAGCACCTGCCTTAAGTAAAGCCAAGAGACAGCAACCTGGATCCTGAGTTCAAGCCCCATTACTTACATAAAATTAAAAAAAAAAAAACAGAATTTAACTTTTCAGTGTCCTCAAAACTGAGGACATAACCAGTATGGCCTGGAGATGAGTGTCACCGATTTAACCAGAGGAGGAAGAGAAAGTAGGGAAGGTAAAGACTACCTCCCAGCCTAAGAAAAAAGAGGCCATAATGAAATTACTTTTAGTGTTTGGTTTGGGACTTTGAGAAGTTGGTAAAGTGCCAGGCAGTAAACAAAACCCCGGAAAAAAAAGGAAACTACTATGTCCAAAAGTCAAAGAACTGGGCCACCTTGTCTGACCTCACATCTAGCTGCCCCTCAGAGCCTCCAGAGATAAGCAGTGGTGAGTATAAAAGGCACTCGTGAACTTTTCTAAGGAAAAGAGAAGGAGAGACAAGACTACATACAGAACAGCTAGCATTGGAAGAAGCAGACTTAATCCAGGAAACAGAAGGAAAGTTCAGAAGAAATTTGATCAGTGTGTTTACAGAGATACAAGAGAAGGTTGTAATGTAAACATAGGAAAGAAACATTAAAAACTACCATCCAGGTATCTTGGAAGTGAAAAACTCAACAGTGGATCACTGTAGCTGAATAGACTTGCCTGAAGGAAGAATAAATATCCTAGAATATCAAAGGGAAGAATTCCTTAGGAATACAATGCAGCCAAGTGCCAGTGGCTCACACCTGTAATCCTAGCTTCTCAGGAGACTGAGATATGATGATTGGAAGTTCAAAGCCAGCCTAGGCAGGAAAGTCTACAAGGCTCTTATTTCCAATTAAGCACCAAAAAGCCAGAAGTGGAGCAAAGTTCAGAGACAGCTCATGGGCCCTGAGGTTAAGCCCCAGGACTGGCACCAGAAATTAAAAAAAAAAAAAAAATACAGTGCAAATGGCTAAGC